ACACACACACACACACACACACACACACACACACACACTTTGAAGAAATGAGCAGATTATTTTTTTTATTTCTCAGTGCACATACCTTGTTTACTCTTTAAACCCATTTTTTCTGTGCTCAACTTGAAGTAGTTTTGAAATTCAGGTTCAGTGGGAGGCCATTATAGGGATAGATCACCCAGAAATTTAAATTCACCCATTATCTACTCACCACTATACAGATGAAGTGTCCACAAAACACTTTTGGAGTTTCAGGGGTAAACAACTTTGCAGCCAAATCCAATACAATTAAAGTTAATCATGACTGATTCTTCAAAAACAGAAAATGTAAAAAAAAAAACAGAAAAAAAACAGAAAATGCCTCTATACCGCTCCTGTGGCATCATCCAAGTGTCCGTAAGCCCCGACATACAACTTTGAGTCGAAAAGAGGTCATTCACACAAATGACCTCATTCCGAGTTGAAGGTAGAAAGTATGGAGGCATTTTATGTATTTTTTACATTTGAAGAATTAGTCAATTGAATTGGATTTGGCTGCAACACTGTTTACCCCTGCAACTCTAAAAGTGCTTTGTGGACTCAAACACTTCTCCCACCCCTCCATCGGCATAAATAATGAGTGAAATTTCATTTTTCGTTAAGTTGATTCAGTACTAAAAGATATGCAGCTTCGATAGACAGATGAGAATCAGCTGCCATTAGATACTGTCTTGGCTCTAATTGACTGTTGTTTCATTCTGTGGTCAAAGTTGTGGTCATTTGAGACTCATTATTCTGTTTTTCATCCTGTTAGCTCATTAAATTTCAGATGGTTTTTGAGACCTGAGCTTAATTCATGTAGAAAAATCCGTAGTGCTTTGATTTGTGGTACCTAAAATTCGGCACCCAATCTTTGCTCTTTTAAACTCCTGTGATGACCTCATGTTTCTTTTAAAACCCACAGAGAAAAGGGGTTTAAGCTCAAACACAGGACCAGACCAGCAAAACCAGAAATCAACACAAATCTAGCAAACTCTGCCTATCAGGCCTCTGGCAATCCTCATTTACTGTGCTTTTAATAAACAGATTCAGTGTCTTTAAGCTTTATATTCCTCTCCGGAGGTGTTACCATGATTCAACCTCTTTACAGAGAAATATTTTCAAGTGTAATTTTCCTACTTAATTTATTTCATTTGTGTGTTTGTGTGAGCTCTCGTATCTCACACTTGGGATTACTAAGTACAGAAGTGTATCACAGCGAAGGGTAAACACAGCAACACATGACCAGATTATGTAAAGAGAAAAACACAGTTCTATTCTATATTCTGATGAAATGCATGAAGTCCTACCTTTACAAAACTACCAACTGATAACTTAAAGGAAAGAAGATTTCATCCTGTTACTTCTCATCTCCTAAAGTTACTCCAACATTTCGTTCTTTTATTTTAAGTTTCTGCTCTTCAAGAATCTGAACTCAACTCTCTGCTGCTCTGTTGCCTCCTTCTCTCTTCTGTCCTCCGTCTCTTAACCCGCAGCCTGTTCTGTCTTCCCTCTCTGAGGCCTGTCACCAGCTAAAGGAAACCTGATAACTGGCCTTGTGGCATTTCAGTGTCTGTGCCGCTCACATTCAGTTAGCAGGCAGCTCTCGCTGTGTGGTTTCAGAAAAAAAGAGGCACGCGGAGATGAGAAGAGGAATAAACAAATTTTTAAATAAATAAATACGGGGGGGATGCTTTTGAAGGGCGCATAGCTGCGGGGCTCTGTAGTGAATATTTAATGTAGGTATCACCAGCACACCGGTTGAAAACCCTGAGGATTTCGCTCCTGCCTCAGTCTACAGAAATGCTCTGTAATTCTTTCAGTGTTATAGGCAATGGGTAAGAAAATACTTGTTTTGGTATGAATGTATTAATAATTATTATATTCCAAATCAAAATTAAATCGTGCTGATTTGGAAAGGATCCCTGGGATGATCGAGTGAAGGGAGTAAAAACTAAATGAACTGGAGGGTTTTCTATTTGTTGTTTTTCTGACGTTGCTCACCTTTTCACCCCATCCTTTGATGGGTCCATCAACGACAGGTAAAGGCTGCAATTGGATTTCCAAGATGTCTGACTTATATTGGCTTGAGATAAGGGTCGATAAAAGCATTTGGTCTACAAGAACACAGGGTGAATGAAGTAAACACACACACACACACATACCTCCTCTATATTGAGGTCTTAACAGCCTTTGAAGACGTCCCTTCACTGGTCACCCTGAAAGTATTTGACCAATAAACCCCCCCCCCCCC